CCGCAGCTCGCCGCGCAGGAGGCCGTCGGTGGCCTGCAGCAGCATGCTCTCCCTCATCTGCGAGTCCTCCAGCATGATGAAGAGCTTGTCCCACTCGGAGGGCTCCCGACGGCAGTCACACGGCGTGGCTAGGGCGCAGGGACACAACACGTTACGCGCCCGCCCAGACCTTCCTGGGGTGTGCGTGGTCAAAAGCTGACCTCTCTAAGTGGCCCCAAGTTCCTGCCCATCCCATCACCCCCTTTCCCTGTAAGGGCACCTCAAAGAAGCCGCGTGTAAATATCTGGAGAAGGACAAAAACCTTTCATGCTAGTCTATATTAACTTGAACTCTAGGAAACTGCTGTTCATGTGGCTCAAGTGTCTGCGATTTCATATGGTTCCGATCACGATGTATCTGTGACAGAAATAACTTTTTGAACTCCTTCCTGAAGTGTTTCTCTCTTTTTGCAAAACAGGCTATACTTTTTATCCCGTTTCATTAGCTACAAAGTCTATGCATTAGTTCGAGACTCAGAGAGCTGGATCTGCCGTTAGGGGTTAGCAGAGAGAGTTAACGTGAACTTACGGTCCTCGGTGGGATGAAGTCCATTGTCTATTTCGTTGTCCAAATTCACGTACATGAGCTCATAATCATCCGAGTTCTCGGCGCGCACTGCAGACCAGAGAACACAAAACAGAACCGCACAGAGATGCATTGCTGGAGAGAGACGAAGTTCTTCGGAGATTTCCCACAGCTGGCGGGAGGAGTCGGGGGAGAGCCGCACCAAGTAGCCGAGTAGGAGCGGAGGAGAGTGAGAGTGAGCGGCAGGAGCCCAGCGCCCTTAATAAATGCTGGGGACGCCTGAATGGGGATGAATGAGTAATGCCGGTGGCACTGCATAACGGGAGTTCCCCTGAATTTGAGGGGGAGGGGGCTGGGTGGGAGGGCGAGGGGGACGTGGAGGCTGCACAATAGTAAACCACAAAGGTTTGCACTGCAGTCAGATTAATTGGAGGAGGGTC